GCTTACGTCGGCATGATCAAATCATATGACTGGTCCACGGCATCACAACGTAACAAAGCCACATGGAGCACTGTTGTTAAGTTGATCGTGCTGAATTGAAAATCCATGCTATATTTGTTGTGTCATGTAAAAATGGGGATATGATCATATAGAGACAACAATAAAAGAAATGCATATGATTGCACCTGCCTTTTTATTTGAAATAGTATATATAACTCGATATCAGTCTTAAATTTTATTTTCACTACTCTACTGCATTCACAACCTGTATTTACATTTTCAACTTCAAAATCCTTTGTTGTCTTTACTTTATATTTTAAAACATAAGTTTTTGGGTGCACTATACTATATCAAAGTATTATACAGTATTATATTGTAATCCATTCCAGACAGAAAAGTAGCAAAGCTTTGCCTACAAGGCTTCATACAGATGTGCAAAAAGTTACATTGACAGCCAAACCAAAACCTTATCGCATAATCTTAACACAATTCAAATCCTGTACCACTAATCTTAACCAGGACCAAATCCTACCTAACTGTAACCTAAATCTACACACACACGCACACGCACACACACACACACACACACACACACACACACACACACACGCAAAGAGGGAGAGTAAGAGACAGAGCAAGATAATGGATATGCCAAAACCATCATCTATAAACGCCAGAGGTTAACCGATAATTACACTCTCCATATGTTTACAGAAAGCAGAGCTGAAAATTGAGCACAGAACATCATTATATGTCGTTGACTTTGGTGATGAAACAGTGACCTCGAGGTAAATTAGCACAGATGTCTGTAGCATACTGGCTAAATTGCTTTCTGTATATGAATATAAATGTAGTGGGGCACAGACCAACAAAGGAATTTTCGTGGTTAAACAAGCTTCTATACTTTTATGAGGTCATCATTTTGAATGATGGTCAAAAACCAGGAACACTGGGCACTTGCTTTTCTTTTTCAGGCTGGTTTTCTGGGAGTTTTCTGGAGCGGTAGACAGACACGGGGTGGATTATTTGTGAGGCGAGATAAGCGAGGCAGCAGATTGTGCATGAGTGAGACAGACTCTACCAGCAAACACTGACGGCTGCGAAACCTTTGTCCTGTCTATAAATTTGTCTGTGTTTTATTTTTATTGTCACTTTTCCCATTTATTTTAATGACTCTGATGATGTCTCAATGTGACGCATGGGGCTTGTTATTTCCTTTCCAGTCGGACTGATGTATTGGTTCGACCTTTGATATCGGCCAGCCCTGCCATTTACCACCCACATGATTGAGAGTCCTCCCTGAACACTACTAGATTAAAATGGAAAATGCTGCAATGACTTGTATTTCTCTTGAAAACTGTTATTTTTGCTGTCAATTGTTTAATAATAGGTATGTTAATGCAGGGATATACAGTATCTTAACCCTGGTGGAACTAAAGCACTGATGTAGCTGGGACATGGGATCTTACAGCTAAAGTGTCTCATTCAGGGCTGTCTCCTAATAAATTTAAGGAAATAGAGCTGAACAGTGTGGTTCCAGAAGTAAAGCATTTCTGAATAAAGATTTGGATTATCAGCCGTCATATAGAAACCGTGCGAAGGCAAACTTACCTCAAGCCACAGCAAGTTTGTATGATCTTAACGTGTTTTATCTGCAATCTCAAGAGGAGAATTACTGCACTTCTCACAATCCTCAAGGTTAATAGTGACATCTCTGGTGGATCTCACTGTTACCATGGAAATGTTCACCATTAGCACAAAAATCCTGTCGGCTACATTAAACTAAGATCAGATAGTTCAGAGTTCCTTCACAAGGTTACAAAACTTCACACTATATGAAACGCTACATACATTCATAGAATATTCAAACTGCAGTGTATTGGAACACTATGTTAACAACAAGGTTAAATTCAAGAGGCGGCGCACTGGAAGTCATTGGTGGTATATGGGATGTGTAGTTCCTTCATTCTTAAAGTGATTTTGTAAACAGTGTTGTACCTTTGCCTATTTTTCTATATACATTTTTTTTGTTTTGCTCTGAATGAAACGTTGTATGGCGACAACTAAACTCGGAGCTGGTAGGCCTGGTTCCAGGATCAAAACTCTGAGATGTCAATGGACCAGAGCCATTCTAAAAGTCATTAGTCACTTTTACCTTCCAGAGAGAATTCTAACGTGTGCAGCCTTTGTCCAAAATGTGGTTCTTAAAGCACATTTTGACTGAAAAATACAGATATAACACATGAATCCTGTCTGTGTTCAATGTATTCTGTCTCTGACAAACACATTTTACTGTAAATGCACTCATTTCAAAAACCCCTGTTAGAAATAGTCTTGTAAAGCTTTAGCCTTAGGCAGCCGTTTGAAATTCTCACTCAGATGATGTGTGAAACACTTCAGGATTGTTTTCAAGGGATGTTGGCAACTGATTTTAATGGCGAGGCCTTTGAATGCATGATTGAACAACTGCATACCAGCATCTAACTGGGAATCTTTATCAAGTTTAATAAAGATCAACATGCTCCTTGTTCCTCTCTTTGCTTTGTCAAACCACGGCTGCCGACAACCGTTATCTGACTGGAAATAGACATGAAGAGTTTAAAAAAAGCTTCACTGTCTACAAGACTTAGTTATAAAAAGTGTAGAAAGTCAATTTTAAGAGATACTGAAGTGAGGAGGAAAATCAATACACAGAAGTCCTGAAGTCATAAGACAACACAGAGCATTTTTTTATTTAAACAGAATGTATTAATAACTATGTTAGGCCAGCTTTCCTGCTTCATCCAGTATGTTGACTTCTTGCTCATGCAGAGAGCAAAAAGCAGCTCGAGCAGCTCGAGCAGCGTACTGTGGTTTATATTTTATTTGGGTCTTGGGACAGTGCAGTGCAGAGGACGAACTATTGAACTGCAGGTTAGATCGATAGACTACAGCAATGAGCTGATTTGGCCGTGTGAGTTTATGACACTAGAAGGAAGACGGAGGAGGAGAGCAGCTTCTTAATTTCAGACTCAAGTAGAGAACTGCCAGTGGTGTAGTTTACTAACTGTCTTAACTCCCTGAATTTGACACTAAATTCTGGACTAGAGCGCCAGGGCCCACAGTCCCCTTACATTCAATCAAGTTGCACCAAATATCCCACAGTCATCGACATCAGCCCTTTAAATATGTCTGATCCATGAATCTTACAATATCAAGAAAGTAAAGCAAAATTCCTGGATCTACACCAAAACAGACTGAGTTTTACCCTGATCCATACCAAATGCTTCCACCAAGTTTCCTGGTAAACGGTTGAGTAGGTTTCGCGTAATCTTACTTACAACCAAACAAACCCAGCAAGAAACAAGAAGTCACAATATTAATTAATTATTAATGTTAATTCCCTTAATGTGCCTGAATTTCTTTCCATCAAGATTCAAGAATTATTCCCTGGGAAAATGGTGAAAAAGGCCTCATCTCATAATCTTAAAGGAAGTAATAAAAAATGTTGGTTCTTGGTGGGTTCATCGTGACCCAAACTACATCTTTTCACCAGTAGTTTTTTTGTAATGTTGCTCAAACCAACCAACAAACCGAGAGGAAAGGTGATAATTAGACCACAACCTCAAAACTGTCCAACAAAAATAATGACACCGATCAGTGATGTAAATGTCTTTACTGTGCAGGAAATATGATATCGGCTTCCTGCAAACACAACTTTCTCATTGTTATCAGCAAATTATCCTCAAATAACCCCCCTGCAGAGTTTACACAGTGTAATGTCCTTTCCCCTCTAAAAACACTACTGCGAAAGCAGCACATTTCAATAATGATTTCCACAAAGGCACAATTGTTGCAGTTATTCTAAATGACTCTCCAGCAAATGAAGCTTAACTCACCATGACCACCGGACCAATGAGCTTAATGTTAATCTCTTGCTATTATAAGTATGAAAAGCTTCTGGTAAAAGTCAGGGTCTATTATGCTGGACTAAGATTTAAGATTTGCTTTTTGAAATGTGGTGATATCTATGTGTCATTGGGCACTTGGTGTGAAAGTATCCACTCAGTTCCTCCAGCTAGAAAATACAGTGCATCACCATGTGGTCTAATGCATGAGGTGAACAGTTTATGTCAGCGTCTGTGTGAAAGGCCAAGACATGTTTCCCATCACACTCTCTTTTTGAGTAGAAGATCAGTTTAGGAAAAAACTATGATAGACAAAGTTACAGTGTCACTTTAACTTATTGTTGTTACAATAAAAACCAAATACAACAGAAGAGTGGTCAGTCATTGATCTGATATAATAATGATAATATTATACAATATAGGATTTTTTGTGGAGTTTGTAAATGCTTTACCTGGTATCACTGTTTTGATTGTTTGACAATGATTGTTTACCAAAGCATTGTGTGACTCTTCTGCTTGATTTGATTGGTTTTGGTTCTTTTGCATTTTAGTATAACAGTGGGTGATCATGTGTCCTGCTGTCTGGGTTGTGTCAGTTTTGTTTTTGTAAGAGCAGATTAATCTTAAAGGTTTTTTAACTTCAGACAGTCACATCAGTGTCCCCAACATCGTTTTTCGGATGTGCCCAAAGGGTCCTAAATAACATCTGAAGGGACACATACTGTACGTTTACAGGAGTGACAAAGAAAAAAATGCAGCAGCCAGTTATGCAAAATGATCCCTGTTTCTAATTTTGCTTGTGAGACTTTACGGTCAGTTCTTCAGAACAGTAATAATCAGAGAAGATCATGTACTCTTGCCATAAGTAAAGATTTCCATTGCAAAAACTTTAGGAACCAAAGTTGGATAAACTAAAAAACGGTTTGTGTCTCTGAAAGTTTTATGTAACCTGGATATTGATCTGTAATGATGCAATATTACAGCCTTGATAATGAGTATTTTACAGATATTTTCAATTGTTGACCACTTACTAAATGTGATCTGATCATTGTGTTGACAAGTTTCCTATTAAAGAGTTAAGTATCCCAACAAATGTAATAAACCTGCACTTACGGTCACTGCAGAATGGCCCCCCATAGGTGGTCATGGTGCAGTCGCAGGAGAAGCCCTCCCACAGCTGCAGACACACTCCCTGGTGGTGGCAGGAGTCCTCTGTGCAGGTGGTGCTGGGACCTGCAGAGTGTAGGCAGCAGAATTAACATGCGTCTTCTACCACCCCAAAGGAAACAAATACATGATGGTGAGCTGATCGTACTGCAAACCAATACTGAAGGTAGTGAAACACAGCAGATCAGGAAGTAAAGACGTCGAATCAGATTGTCTTGCAATTATTGACGCACAGTCACACTCTCAGGAGGAGCATTAGGACACTCTACTCATGTTGGAGAGCCCAAAAGCACCATCAGGCCACAGGCCTCAGTTATTTTCCAATAATCTGCTGTAAAAATTGACTCTGCTCATCATTAAAATGTAGAAGAAGCCTTTTGTTTTGATGACTCCTTAACTAGGAACTGTGGGTGCACCTATATTGGATCTGTTTGCTGTTGAATGAGCAGCACCCTGCAGAGATTATTTGAGATTTTTAGGATTTGGCACAACTCTGAGCTACACTCAGTGTTTTGTTGTTTGATTATGACTCAGCAAAAGCAGCTGGATTTCTTGACTGCAGAGTGATATTATTGCATCTAAGCCTGTTTAATGCGAAAAAATAAACCACAAAATGTGTTTACTGGCCAATCATGGTGGAGTATTCAGCTAAGTAGTTTTATATCATGTGATGTTATTAGTTTTTAGTGAACTGTTAGAATCTGGTTCATCTCTGCCCTGGATACTGGAAATATAACAAAATCAGATTATAGGAATGATAAACGGGTGTTTCACACTTCCTCACCTCCGCAGCCGCGCTCCACCTCCCCCACCTTGTAGAGGGCGTCTGCCAGCAGGTCAGGGAGTCTTCCGTTCAAGTCCACAGACGCCAGGCAACCCTTGTATCCTTCCCGTGATGCTATCAACCGAGGCAGGCTGCTGTACATGCTCTTCCCAAGACCACCAATGTACAGCTCCCCTGTGAGACACAGGAAAAAACACAACAAAGCACATTTAGGTGAATGTTCTAAAACAACACATTCACAGACAATGCACATAGTAAAGGGTTCAAATTAAACCTTTAGTAAATGACTAAATAACTGAAAATGTATGAGGGTATAATGCAAATTCTAGCAATTTTAATCAGAGACCAGTTTATTAGGTACACCTGAATACATTTATTCAAACTAATTTAACTGTGCTGACTTAAGATGTACTTTTAAACTTTTAAATAATAAATAAAAAGAAAAGACAAATACAACCAAATACATAGAACTTAAACTGACAAGATAAACATAATTTTCTTTATGTAATATGTAAACATAAATGCACAAGTTTTCTGTATTTTTTTACTATGTAAAGTTTTATCTGCAAACGCTGATACAGATGTCTGTAAAAGGCTCATATCAGCTGATCACTTATCAGCCAACCGATAAATCAACTGCTCTCCAGTGTTAATTTAATGATATGGTTATAATATCAAGGTCATAGTTATAGTGACCGTGTTGTAATGGCCTGCATTACATTCAGAGGTGTTTCTTATATTCTTTCCTCATGTATGTAAATGGGAAGGACAAATAATTTAGGAACACCCATTAATATAATATGTGGTCCAGTGACCTCAATAATAAACAATTAATTGAATTTGTGCTTTTCTGACAGCGTCAGCAAAAACTGAACATTATAAACTCCAGAGCTCATATTCCAAATCACACGTAATGTTGGTGCATACTAAATATAAAGAGTTTAAACCACACAGTTAAACGACAGTCTGAGTGTGTATTCCTTTTAGCACGATATTAGAAAAATGATACAAGGTTAAATCTCAACAACAAAGTAAAGCAATCATTGTATCCGCTAATGAAAAGATGTTTGAATGTTCACATTAGTTACCTTTTAAATCCAGGTTGCGTGCTCCGTTGGTGTGTTGTGTGACAGTGCGAGCATCAATCTTCAGGATGTGCATATTGTTGTTGTCGCGAGAGATTACCACATTGTGCCACTGGTTGTCGTTGAGAGGCTTGTCAGAGTTTCCCTTCATTAGTGACGGCCCATTTCCCAAGTCAAAAACATAATGAATGTACCTGCAGGACAGGACAATGTAGATGTAAACAGTATTTGTCAGTAGTCAGTGTCATAGTGTTATTTCTCCCTTTATAATGTGACATTTACAACATTGCATTAAGGTAGGATTGAGATATATATATTTTTTCACTGGCTTCATTTGTTGCATTGTTAGCAGTATTACACAAAAACATATGGGTGGATTGCAACAAAACTTAGTGGAAGGATGCAATATAGGTGGTGGAAGAGCCCATTTATTTTGGTGATCCAGGTTTAACATTGTGATATATCCAACATTTTAGTTGATTTCTCGGAGATGAATTCATGGATCTTGATGAAAAAAACCTGACATTTATGAGTGCATGTAATTTAATGCAGATCCAAATAAAAAACAGCATGTAGTGAGAGAAGTCAGATATTTTCAGTTACTTGCATCAATATCCCCCTTTGGACACGCATGTCAGTGTTCTGGATTCAGAGGTAAACACCTCACAGATAAACATTGCGCAGCCTCAACACTATGACAAGTATTGGAAGAATCCATTTTTAGTCTGTGCTGTGTGAGAGCTTCTGGTGCAGCAGAGCTCCCAAGCTGAATGAGGCCCACCACTGACTAATTACTGAGAGGAAGACGAGGATTGAGTGTGGGACGCTCAAATTTATTTGTGACTGAGTCAAGTTGCCGAATGTGCTCGAGTCTGTCTCTGTGTGAGGGCGACACTGGTTCAGTTGTAACAGCAGTCACTGCGTTGGCACTCATGCTTCCACTCTGTGCTTCTCTCCCTTTAACAAATTAATTCACAATGAACAAATGTTTTTTGTGTCTCTCTTCAGTGCTGCGGGCTGACGAATTCAAGATATGAATCATGATTATGTAATTTTGAGCCCAAGAAAGAGGATAAACTCATATTCAAGTGTCTCGAGTTTTGCACTGAAATAAGATTATGCAAGTACAAAATGAGGAATAATTGATTTTGCACTAAAAAGTCCCTTCTATCTTTCCTCAGCCTCGGCCTGTGTGCATGTGTGCATGTATAACCAGCCCTTACCCTTTGACTATCTCCACCATGATGAAGTCACTGCCATCTCCAGTGTTGTAGAGGATGAGGCCGTCAGGACTGGCGGTCTTGAACTGGAAGAAAAGATGCATGGAAGCATAGGCCTGCAACGTAGAGAAGGCCAGGTAGCTGGCTTGGGTTACAAAGGTTACAGGATTGGCCACAATGTGCCTCATGCCGAATCGAGCATTCAGCTCGCAGAAGGAGATGTCTCCGTTCTTGCACTGGTCCAGGTACAGCATCCCGTTGAAGGAGAGAGCCTGCAGATGGCCAATGAAGTTGGAGGGCACCACGGAGATGAAACGCCGCTCTGACATGATCCCTGTCTCGATACTGTTGAACTCCAAGCGAGTGTGGGCGCCTGTCATGTGGCCTGCAGAGCAAAACATGAAGGTTAAATTACAAACACCTCTCAACATCTGAACTAGTGCTTCTACAGCCCCCTTCATTCCCAAAGTACCTTCCACGGTCACATTGTCCACAGAGAGCTGCAAATTCTTCCCGCGCCGCGCCACCTTGACTGCGTGCCACTCGTTGTCGTTCAGTTTCTCGCCAACCAGGAGCACCTCAGGTCCTTTGCCTGAGACGTAAACAGCATCAAGTGAGAATCGTAGCTAAATCAGCTCAGTGCACTTTTTCCACACGAAGCTCTCAACATGAGCCGCACTGTCTCCCCGGGGTGCACAGCCTACTTGCTTTCAGAATCACACACATACACACACACACACACACACACACACACACACACAGACACAAATAAATTAGAGGAGTAGCCCCTATTTCCAAATGATTGTCGGTGTAAAATAGTATGATGCATGCTTCTCTTTGCAGTGGCATTTTATTAATGTCTGCTGGGGGTTTATATTAGGTCTTATCTTGAGGCTTGGCCCAAACATACAGCTTTAGGTTTCAGCATTTCTGCACTATCCTCTGCATTTTTCCACCGGTTTCAAAATAGGTCACAGTGCAGAGGCTTGCCACTGCTGCACCGTCATCCCGAATCAGTGCCTATGCAACAGGCCGACACGGCAGTTCAAAGGAGTTCTGACATCGCTTGGGAAACTAATTGGCCATGCCTAAGCTGACTGCGCCTTTAGGGGTTTGTCTGTCTAATTGAGCTCAGGGTGCAGGAGAATTACAGGGGACGTACAGAGGGCAATAAATGGAAAACATCAACGGGTTTCCGAACACTTCACTGTTTCTTCCTCTGGGAAATAAAGCAGCGACTGGGGAGGTTGGGCTTTGTCCGGGGCTGCATATCAAGCGTCTTAGCAGAGCACCGCATGATACCACCATCCACCTGCTGAATATTGACTATGCACACCAGACAGATCAATGACAGCCAATCCCCTCTACATTTGATGGGTTTTACTTGGATAATGAAAAACAAAGCAGTCACTGGAATCATGTCCGACAGTAAGACAGAAATGTTTAGCTTGTAAACCATCACGGAAAACACAGGTACGGACAAGATTTACTCTAATGAAAGAGGAGAATGTGGGATTCAGTGCATGTTATCTGTGTTTCCAGGGGGAGCTACTTGATGTCAGCCTCTAAACTCAAACACTGTGATGTTAAGGCGACCAACACAGAAAACAGAGCAAGGATTCTTCTCAGGAAAGTGAAGGATTTTTATGTGTGGTATAAATTAACACCTTCCTCACATGAATATCTGTTAACCAGTCTCATGGAGAACTACAGCATATGTTAAAAACAGCTGTATGAAGCCTTTTGTGGCTCCAGAGGGGGCTGGGCAAACAAGGGCAGATCCAGGGGTGGGGTAAGGGAGGCACTGGCCCCAGGAACCCCTGAAGTGCCCCTGTTCTTTCAGTAGTCTTTTTTTATAAACAGAAACTTACTATCAATACATTTATGCAGTTTATCAAATCAGTGCTTCATCTGCATTTTATATCTGAACCGGTCTAGGGTGCCTTGTTTGCAGGGGTGGATCCAGGGGCGGGAGCAGAGTGGCACTGGACCAAGTTGAAATCTGATTGGCCCCTGAAATGCCCCGGTACTAAGGTCAAATAATATCATAGGGGTTCAGGACTAATTCAAAGAAATCTTCATAATTATTTGTACAAACTAAAAGCAGGGAATGTTGGAGTAGTCTAAGATTTAATTAGATTTGAAGTGATTATAATGTTTGATTATGTATTTGTATTTTATATTTATACTTATTAGTTTTTGTTTTCTTTCTTGGTTCTTTTTTAATCCTTTGCAAAGTGTCTTTGAGCACTGTTACAGTTTGGTCTCTGAAGAGTAGATATAGAAGTACACATAGTAAAACTGACTTGGTGCTGTGTTCACATTGGCACAGTGTAGAGGGCAGTAAAATGGCGGAATATAATATGTATTCACACAGACACCTGACTATAAACCTTTTGAAATGTGGGCTCCATTCAGAGTATTTGCACTTAACAGATTCGCTGGAGAGTGAGCTTTGTCTTTAAAGGATCTATGTTGTTCAGTTTGATCTCACATTATAATTGAGACAAATACATTTTTTCTAGTAAGGATAACTTCAAGGGACCGTGCGCTCGCACAGGTCAACAGTATGGGTGAGCCGAGACTTTGAATGCAGAATGTGCGTGGTAATCAAAGCATGTTATGGTAATTGGGGTAATTTTGCAGAGCGAATGCCTCATTTTCGAAAAGTGTGCCGTGTACCGTTATTCCCCAGATTCCAGAGAATTACTCATGAGCACTGCAGCAACATTGTTCTTGCAGCTATTACCCTCCCACGGCGGATCCAGTGGTGGACGGCTTCCAAGCATCTGCTGCAGACGACTATTTCTCACCTTCATGAAGTCTGCTACTGTACAGCAAAACCTCCCCTGTAAACCTGAAGACTCGATCTTACATTCAAGTTGTAAACTAATCCTGATACTCATAATTAGTCTATGGTACATAGTGTAAGTCTCCCCAATGACAGCGCTCACTAAATAGTGACTGTCTAGATCGTTTACGCAGATAATTCTGCAATTTTAAATTTGGCTCCAATTGCTGTTAACAGTCATAAAATCCATTAACAAGCCATCCATCATCACATCTGCAGTATTAAGCTCTTCAGAGGCCACTGACGCAACACGTATAGTGTAATTGATCAGGAAGGTGATTCATTTTGACACAGGAAAGTGGATATACAGTTTGTATCATCTGCAGACAGTGCATGATGGTACAATGCCATCTGGTGGTCGAGGAGGCAACGAGTTGTCAGATATCTGAGGAGATAAAGGATATGAAGCCTTTCTTTCAATATGTTTTATCTTTGTCATTTATTCACTTATTAATCTGCATATATTATTTTCTAATTAATTCACATCGGGACATTGAACATTGGGACATTGAACTTACAGAGACAACACTCTCTTCTCTCGAACCATCCATACACACACATGAACGCACACACACTACTCACCTTGATCAGAGAAAAACAACGTCATCCACTTAATTTAATGGACGCTTGCTTGGGTTCATACATGTGTCGTAAATCTCTTGTAACAGCTAAAGTGTCTCTTTTTGCTCTGCAGCCTTTAAATCTCGGATCAATAGATTAAGATGAGACAAATTTACAGTGTAGACTGTTGGTTATTGATTTTTCCACACACGTAGAGTCAAAACATGTGTGAGAGAAACAGTTTCTGCAGCAATCATAAATACAATGTAATGGCTCTAGTATCCAGGCGGCTGGAAAAATGAGCAGTTAAATGTTTTATTTTAGAGAAGCCAGGAATTATTCATTCATGAGGAGTGGAAACAAGCTTTCAGCCAGCACTCGATTATAGCGATAACTTTTCATAAGCCCCCTCTGTATTGGATGATCTGTATCAGAGAGCCGTTCACCTCTCCATTGGCAGCCGCTTTTTATCTGTTTCTCACACCAAACCTAAACTAAAATTGCCTGTCGCTCGCTATCAGGTGAGAGCAACAATCTGCATCATAAATTCCAACATCATCACGCCACGACCCCAAAGTACCTCTTCATTTCACCAGAGCGTAGGATACCAGAAAAATCAATCCTGCTAATACAGAGGAAGATCTGCCGCTGGCGTTCATCTGCCTTTTAATCAATTGAATTATGTTCGCTCATTTAAATTCATGAAAACGTATTTGATGGATGCTTTTCACTTTATGGTCATGTTTCCCGGCCTGTGTTTGAATTAGGCTATTTTTCAAATTGAAGGATTTTATACATTTTATACATTTATACAGTTTTCTCTGCATTTTATATTTGATCTCGTATATGGTGTCTTTTACACAAGGGCGATTCAGAGGTGGGGAAAGGGGGGGCACTAGGTCCAGCTGAAATCTGCTAGGTCCCTGTCTTGTCTATTTTTTGTTAATAAAAAACTGTCACAATACCAATAATAAATATGATAATTTGTTGAGATTTTTTTTTAGGCTCACTTTTTTAAGTACACATTGTGCATGAACAAAGAATAATTTTAAAAATATATTCAATGATTGCTCAAAGTTATAGAGCAAACTGTGAACAAAGAATGACTTACATTTAATGTGTACCTCGTAAGAGGAGTTGCGCATGGATGTTAGAAATATAATTGGTTCCTTTATGGCCCCTGATTTAGAAAAATAATAGCTCCACCACGGCTTCAATTAAAACCTTTAGTGCATAAGAAGGAAGGATAACACTGAGTGTTTTCAAAGATTCCTCACAAAAAAACAGACATCTGATGTTTTACTCTGCTTTAAAGTTAAGGTTCACTGAAAAATTTGAATTCACTCATCATCTACTCACCACTATGCCGATGGAGGGGTGGGTGAAGTATTTGAGTCCACAAAACTCTTCAGGAGTCTAATAGGTAAACTTTGTTACAGCAGAATCCAATACAATTCAAGTAAATGGCCAAATACACTTCAGACGTAATAAAACAACAGAAAAAACATTACATGCCTCCAAACTGCTTGTGTGGTGTCATCCAAGTGTCGTTTACTACGTCTGAGTGTAAGTCACCATTGTCTTTAATTCTATTCGTTTCTACTGCAACACTGTTTGCCCCTGAGACTCCTAAAGTGTTTTGTTAACTCAAACTCTTCACCCACCCCTCCATCAGCATGCGGTGAGTAGATAATGAGTGAATTTTCATTTTTGGGTTAAGTATCCCTTTAAGAGACCATACCCTAACATAGTCTCTCTCCTAAAATAGAAAGAATCATCTGCAACAAACCGTTTGCTCTCACACGTTTCAACATTTAAGGAAAACCAGGTTTTTTGATCCCCTACAGCCTTGTCTCGTACTTACCTATTGATCAGATATCAAGCTAACCTTTAAATTGATCTCAGCTCTGCCACTGCACTGTGATTAACCACTAATGAAATCAATTTTTTTCCCTTCAAACTGAGACCAAGCGCTGCTTCTCTGCCTACAAATTATTGTTGATTGCACTTGAACTTGACTGAACCCAATTATCAGATGGTCGTCAAAGGGCAAATGAATGATACAGTTATTGGCAGCAGTACTGCACGTCAGATTTGATTACAACATTATTACATTGCAATTATGAGACAATGTAGAATTTAGATTGTTGCTAAAGTGTGCATTTCATGAGCGCAGAGAGGAAGTATGCAATTACATTCAAGCGTACAACAGTAGAGGCTTATTCTTCTTTTTATCTTTTTGATGAGCAGCAGAGCAGCAACAGTAAACAAAGAGAATTGTGGGGCAGAGTAAATGAATTATGTTCTGTTTCATAAGGGAATAGAGCAAGAGTCACATGGTTATACCACAGAGCATGTTCTCTAAATCATGTTAGAGTAAATAATCATAGGAGACACTTACTGAGATTACAGTCTATCCTGATACAATCTGGTGAGAGAGAGAGTGAGATGGTGAGATTAAAGGAAAAAAGAAAGAAACAGCACAAAAAGAGGAGAATATTTCACATCCTTCAAGGTACATTCTGCAGACACTTCAGTGCTTTTCAGAGCCCACCATCCGGGGACAGCCTCGAGAGTCTAAACCACCACTTTCCTCCCCGCAGCGTACATAACATTAGAGGAACCGGGGAACGTTGAGTGAAAGGATAACCTCAGCATGTGTCTGGCACTGCTGGAAGGACAATAGAGCCGATCAAAGTTAGGACCAATAAGACTTTTGTTGGCCATATAAGTAGAGGTGCACCAGTAAATTATTTTAGCGTCAGTATCGACTCTTGACACAGTTGCATATGTTTCAACATGAGCAAATGGATTTGACTATTTCTGATAGTTTTTCTGATATGTGCTTTGGAATAATTCAAAGCGTGCAGTGCCGTGAGGAAAATTGTCTGACACAGATAACGGGAACGAAAAAGGAATCCTTTGCTGGCTCTGAGCGCCTCGTGTGGAGGTAATGATGAAAATTTAAACATCTGATATAAAAAGCAGCACACTGATGTTACTGCAAAGAGCAGGTGTGGGTGGCTACTGAAAACACAGCAATTACTGGAATTATGCACAATCTGCAATAAATGGTTTCCCAACAGATCTAATCATCTCGAGCTTCGAGACAGATCCTTTTCTGAGTGTGTTATATTTCAATATTGTCCTCTTATGACTTGGCCCTATTGCAGGCCCCTGCTCCAATATGACATGCCTAAAATTAGTGTATCCCTCATAAATTAAATATTTTATTTCTGCACAATTTTACAATTTATGAGTGATTATCCTCTCTGAAATCAGACAGTTGGGCTACAACTGTCTATCCAGTACCTCTAGCAATCCATAGCACAACATTTAAACATTGTCTGTGCCATATTTTATTTTACTAAAGTGAAGCAGATCAAAGGTGAAGAGGTTTTAGTTCAGATATGTTTAGGCTTAATCTACAAATGGCTGAGATTTGAGATTTCTCACTATAAAACTAATTTATTTCACTTATCTGTCACTATATGTATAACTGTTTATCAATGAAACCGATGTACAATCTTTCTGAATAGCAACTTATTCACAGCATTGTTAGGCAGGATTGCCTCCACACAGTCATTAGAGATGCACAGATTGATGTTGCTGATTAATTTCATGGAGATCTACTGAGAAAGTCATGTGTGATTTAATACGTCCGATTGGTTTGGAAAATGTTTACTGGAGAACCTCTACTCAAAAGCCCAAACCTTGATCTTCACTCTCAAACTCAAACTGCTGTTAAATGAAGTGTCCTGCTCGTTCTGCAGGCCTGATGTTAATATATTTCCATGTTAAATACAGAGGAAAGAGGCGATTTGCACAACCTGCAGCCACAATGAACCTTACACCATGACAGACATGACAACAGCACAAATGTGATGCATCGCTAACATTTTCTCGTGTCTGCAACAGCTAATATCTTTCAAATCCATCTGCAGTATTCAATTTTTTATAGCCTTTAAATGACTTCCCCTGCCCATCATTTCCATGTTTCTGAATAATGGAATCAATTTATCCAGCTGGACATGAATATATTGGTGTAAGTCGCGTGGCTGAGGAGTGCTCTCGAACTGTCAACCATCACAGAGCAGTGGATACAGACAGCCAGAGACCAGAGTGACTTTCTACTGCAGGTGTGTGTGTGTGTGTGTGTGTGTGTATGTGTGTGTGTGTGTGTGTGTGTGTGTGTGTGTNGTGTGTGTGTGTGTGTGTGTGTGTGTGTGTGTGTGTGTGTGTGTGCATGTGTGTGTGTGCCCTCTGTTCAGTGAAGCAACTCTAAAGTGGACAGGCCCGTAAATGCGAGGGGAGGGAACTACAATGGTCACATCCATGGCACGAGCAGCCTAAGTGGTTATATTTCAGCATAATGGCGGATCTGGTCCCTGACTGCCTTCTCCTTGAACTGCAGACAAGCCATTGAAGGGCTGAAAGAGCTGAGACGGTCAGATGGGACCTGACCACTGGATGAACTGAGAGAGAGAGGGACAGAGAGAAAAGGCAGAATATATATACACACCTACAGTTGCTTAAAAAGGCACTTGAGTTATAATTAACCTTCATTTAAATGCTTTTTTAAAGATTTCTTTTGTCTTGATGTGTTGAACTTGAAATGTGGAGTTTTGTGCAGCATCTTTGTTTCTTTTTTCATTGGAATAAGCATAGACTGTGATCAAAGATGACATGATTGGTCCCCAAAAGTGAAGCCAAAAGGTCTCGATCACCACCTGGTGGCTGGCTACAGTATAGGTCATAAACCCTGCCTCCTCCATGTTAGTGGATGAAACAATGACCAACCTAAAAAGAAAAATGTTCTAATCCACATTTTGGCACACCCCAGTAGTTGAATGTTTTCAGTGCATACTATATAACAGATGTCTTCATTTGTATTCTGGTTGTGGATCTTTGCTACATGTCATCCTCCTCACTCTCAGTCCATGTCAGTTCCTGTCTGTCTCTATGCTGTCAGATTTCCGATAAAGACAAATCTGTCAAAAAAAAGTTGTAGTGTTTCTTTACCTTTTCCATTATTGTCATACTGAAAAATAATTCTGCTAAAACTAAATATCTATAAACTACCATAGAAGTGCATAATGTGGCTATGCAAACATATTAGCATAATACTTTTTTGATCAATATTGATCAATATGATATTGTATCTGTTTTGCATATGCATGCTGCACATCAGACCTCAGCGTGTTTTGGTGATTAAAAGAAGGAAATCCTTTATTGATCCCCATGGGGGAAATGTGGGTATTAATTAACACAGCATATAAACATAACTTCTTTGATTCCAAGGAAAATCACACACTTTCCTTGAATTTGACATTGAAGAGTTATATTTAGTTTAGAATTGAATCTTAAAGAAATCCGCTTTTTCTATTTTTTTTATCAATAATTTTAAGTCTTTATACTAAACCTATGAAATCCAAATGATATGTTGAAATTTTTATTTTTATTTTGAGTGGAAGTTTGAATTGGTAACATTTCTTTATCTACTGTTCGCTGTATTTAATGTTGTATTGAAACTATTATTAGATTACAATAAAGCTGTATTTACTGTTGGGAGCAGAATATACTGTGTTAAGGGGAATAGGCAGATTTTATTTATTTATTTTGTTTTTTAAATTGTGATTTTTTCTTGTAATTAACTAACCTAAGAGTAGTTGACAGAAATAATATTGAAAATGAACAATACATTTTTTTTGACAATTTAATTCACTCATTTTCATTTCTATAGATCTAAATGGGATACATTTGACACAACCACTTCAGGTCTTTATTAGAAATATTTGCCAAAAGCTGCGGCATGTGCTTTTCTTATTTTAAGCAACTGTAGATATTGTATGTGTGTGTATGGGTATGAGAGAGTCTGAGACAAAAACTAATAGGATGAGAACTCTTGCTGGGTCACACGTCCTGAAAGGTCAAGTAGAATTATCTGCTGGCACGTGCAGAGGCAGCAACATTACCCAGGTTCACAGTGAGTTTGACTCTGCCTCCGTCCAGCTCCAAACGCAGCGTGTCCGCTGACTGCTGAGACGTGGTGGCCATCAGCAACCCAAAGGCCCTCTGGGACATAAAGCGCAGGGACACGTCCTCGGCCTCCGTGTGCAGCGTCCTTGGCAGCACCACCTTCAGATACATGCTGCCGTCATAGCTCACCGTGGTGGCTTCTGCAGATTTCAGAAAACATGAGGCATTAGCAGATAGTGAACACCAGAGGGAATCACAACAGCAAATTAAAACCACAAAGTGGCATTTACGTTGTGAAACCTGATTTCTCTTTGAGCTTATCTCAGATACACCGTGATATAATTTCAGATTGCAGTTTTCATCAGCCGCACCAGATGGCAGAAACAGCCTGGAGCATGAAAAGACAGCAGCAAGATTGCAGCAGCAATCAAATTTCTGAAGGATTTATACCCATCATAGCGCAATACAAGCGGGATTTTCATATATCCCTCATGCTATTAGCTGCCAATAGATCTGCATAATTTGGCCTCTCTGTGAGAAAACCATCTGCATGGTAAATGCAGAGTGATTCAGGCTAAAATCACTCTGTCGGAGCATTTCTGAAGAAACACACATCACACTTCTAGCCTCATGATACTGACACTACATTAATGAATCACTTCACTGTAGGAAAATACTGTAATTTATTTTTGAATGGCTCCAATGAAACACTGCTGAATTTCTCTTGCCCGTCCGATGTCTCCTCTACTGCTTGGCAGAGGAAAGAAAAGGTTATTTTGCCCTGATATTATGGTTCTCATGAATCGATATGACATTATACAGCATGTGGGTGATCATGCTGCAGTTGCAAATAAAATGATTATTGTTTGGTGGGTTTCAGCAGTAAGGTTTGAGAATGAAATTTCTTTTTATACACATATTTTTTATCTGTGCAGGCACTTTAAAGCCACTATGCTGCTGGGTTGATAAATAAAATACTGGCCAAGGTGTGTTAAAAGCTTTGCAGCAGCAATCCACCATCTCCCATCACCCCCCTCCCCCGACCATCCTTATCAGGAAATCTTACCCTTATCACAGCTCAGACCGAGATACCCAGTCCCATTGCAGTCGCAAATGTGGCGGTTCCAGCCTTCTCTGCAGTGTCCGCCGTTGGCACACGTGTCTTTGGCACACCGCATGTGAGTCTCTCTAGTGCAGAAGCTGCTGACACCTGTGGCGCTCTGAACCTCCGCCAGCCTCCACAGGTTGCGGCTCTGTCCGTCAATGAAGAGGTCCCTCACGCAGCCCACGTAGCCAAGGCCGAGGGAGGCTGTCCACACCTCAGGGGGCAGCATGAGAGCTTGGCGATCCTCAGGTAATCCTCCAAGATACATGTCCCCATCTAGGTCGAGGATCTCACTGCCTTCATTAGTGGAGAAGGGGATGCTCTGGCTGTTCACGGAGATAAAGCCTGTAGGGCAGGCATTAGCAGTGAGTCAACTTGGACTGATACAATATTTTTGTAGCCGAAAACGAAGACAGGTGTGTGTGGGTTGTGATAAGTGAAAAGTGAGAGCACACTGTGAGAATGAGGAAGTGGGCATCGTCCTTGGCTTCTTGAAAAAGATAAAGAAACTGCACTGCCAGTCTCTGGGAACTGACACTGATACTAAAACTCTCTCTGGAAAGTTGAAGAATTAAATGACAACTGTGCATTGTCATATTAGCCTAAGAAGGAGGGAAATGTATTTATAGAAATGTGAAGTAAGCAGCAGATTAGACTCCGACTAATAAGGCAGACATTTGGATTGCACTAATAAGGCAGACATTTCCTAAGTTGAGGTGTGTGACTGTATAATTGGCCACTTGTGAAATAGGTTAACACAGATTTCAAAATGTCATACATATATTATAGCGACTAAAATATTGTTGTAATTAAATTCTAATATGCATCTACATTTCGCTGCCGTGAAGCACAGGCGAGAATGTGCTGATGTGACTGTATCCGTGTTGGCATATGGCGATTTCACAGATTGGAAGCTTTTCTGCACCACAGCTAAAACTGGAGACACGGTAACAGAAGCGGACAGAAGGCTCCTTCTGCCTCCACAAATAGGCTGAATTATCTCACCGTTGCGCCCTTTCCTGTGGAACTCCACATGGCACCACTCGCCACCGCTGAGCCTCACGTTACTGGCTTTCATCTTGATGCTGCCAGAGCCCATATCCATGACCAGGTAGAGAAATCCATCCAGCAGCTCTATGGCGAAGAAGTCGGCCCTGGGCTTCTTGTTGGGCTGTGTTCCCTGCAGGCTGCCGTGACTGAACAGCAACAGGCCGCTGAGCTCTGTGGTGCGGAAGTCGAAAGATATGGCGCCCGTCTTCTTCGTGTTCCACCTGGGCAATGTCAAGTAGGCAGATGGCGTGTCAAAGGTGACCGGCTCCAGGGCCTCCACGTTCTCGCAGCTGAATATCAGGTCACCATGGATACTGATCCTGGGGTCTTGCTGTTCGGCCAGCTGTGACAGTTCCAGTCTAAACTCATTGTTCTTGTAGACCACCTAATAAATGAGAGAGATGTCACTGTGAGAAGACAGTTGGAAAGAGCAATAGATTCAGTGCAAAGGTTGAAGACGGCTCATTAATGCAGACCAGGATCGATACGACACCGTAACGTCCACAGGGACGTGCAGCAGCAAACACGTTGAATCCTCCTCTCACTCAGAGCTGAGACGGAAATGTCCTGAGGCTTTAATTCCCAGAGTTGTGTTAAATAAACTGGCACCTTTAATTATAAAGAGGAAGCGTGTAAAACTGAACACATTGTATTTTACTCATACTCAAAGTCGAGACATTCTTCTTCTCAGCATCTGGGTTGTTTTTTTTTTCTGGATCATGACGTTTTCAGCTTTATCACAACAATTTCTTAATTTACTACAAAACTGTCATGAGAAGACTAGAGGAAGACGAGAGCTGAAAAGCTGATGAAATTCAGAAAATGAATTTAGATTAAGGCGCAAACGTTTTAGAAATTTATCTGACTCACTTTTGTTCAAGGCAAGTGGGGGGGAGAGAGGTGGACTCAACAAACCTCAAACAATTATTTATAGTCAAAATTTAAAGAGGTAAATACAGTCAATGTAAGCGGGCACACATTTTCATTCTCATGTGTTAATTTCTATTTTTTTGTGCTCGTGATGCTGAAGCAACCAAACAGTGGTGAAAAATCTGATTTAACTGCAGCGACTGAACAACAGACCTCCTGCTGCCACAGTGTCTGTTGTAGCTATTGATTTGATATTTGAAATCAATCACAGGAAACACAGAGAGCCCCCACCCCCTCTTAAATATACACAATTACAATACATGATATATTATACCCTGTTTATACTCAAAGCATACTTCAATACAAAGGCCGCCCAGGCTTCTCTGTGCTGTCACTGTGTTATTTCCCACTTCTTATATTCTGGGCTCATCAATATGCACAGCAGGAGACAGCAATCCTTGTCTCATTTTCTATCAGTGGTAAGTCACCCCAAGCCCACTGTTATCTGCCACATCACTCTGTGACCAGCCACTGCCTGAGGTGACGCACCACACTGCACACGCTGAGGACTAACAGCGGAGCCGAGAGGCAATTTGAGCCAATATCACACTTCACACTGGCTCGGTGACTAATTAAGCAGTGAAATCAGATGGTGAAACTGACCATCGAGAAATGAGCGTAACATGCCGTTTTCAAATGGGAAGACGGCCACTTAAAGCAGGAACAGTCATTGTTTACAACTACAGGAACATCGCGTCTAACAGAAAATGCATCGATGGCTACAAAACTGCAAGCTGTGACCTCCACAAGCGTATTATATAATCCAAAGGACAATACAGGAAGTGGAATCCTATTTCAACACTTCAGTTGGATGTTTTATGCGACAAGCACCATGAGGATAAAGCTCGTCCAATGTCGACTGACAAAGTCCTTAAGTGTCGTATATGCTCAAACAGTGAGGAATAACAGCAGCCAGAGAATGGAGACCTTCTCTGCTGCTAACACATTCTTCTTAACCAAATCGAGAACTATCTTTGAAGCATTACAGCAGAGGGACCTAATGATGTTGTGTGTGGGATATCCTGTGGGCACATATACTGCAGACCAGTACGATTTCACAGACCAATTCATCTCTCCCTGCTCGTAGTCGTAGTCGTGACATTCGTCTGAAAGTGGCCATTATTTTTTATGTACCTGATGAACCTGATGGCCTCCACCCAGCAGCACTCACATCTATTATCATGTAACGTCTAGAGAGATTAGTCATGGCCCAAGCTCTCTGCGTTCAATAAGATAAGACAGTTATCCCCCTAAATATATCCACTGCTTATACAATAAATATTTAGGCGCTTCTCACTTCCTCGCTGAATGAATATGTCTTTAGAGTTGTGTTCCTCTAGTTAGCCACCAAACTCACGGCTTGGGCTCGGACTGACCCGCCTTTGAACCTGGCTCCTGGATTTTTGCTGGCGGGTGGATCACATTTGATCATCTCTACCCCTGCCACCGCTCACCCTCTGTGGACTTCGTCATACCGTCATCATGACTCGATATCCTGTCATACTCCTCTCCACATGCCCACAGCAAATCTGTGTGACAGTAGTAGTATGTTTAAACACCACCAACAGCTACGCCACCCACAGAGCGGAGGTTGCAGCATGGAGACTAACAATAACCTGTCCGTAAATAACATCTCATTTTCATTTCAGTGTATTCACAGTGCAGAGTAATTACGCAGGCTCTCCATGTAAGAATCATCAAGCAAATGCTTGAGCGCTTTCATTTGTTGATGTGCTTAATTAACCAATTCTGCTGAAATTGTACCACACACGACTAATTACTTCTATGTATTTACTGGAGAGTTTAATGGACAAAATTACATGGCTGCAAACTACAAAGAGAACATCAGTAACGCTAACTAGGTCATGTTTGGCAGCATCAACATTTAACTTTAGGTCTGTTAGCACATGTTAACTTGAACTCAGTAGAGCACATTCCTCCACCAAGGCCCAACAGTTCACATTTAAATTCACTAGATCCAGATTTGTATTTGGATCTGCACCAAATTGCCAAAATATCCTTCAAAACATCTCACAATGTTAAAGTAAGTGGAAAAAATTCATGATCAGGATCCTCACCAAAATGTTTTTTTTTTCTGACCCATACTAACATCTTTCCACCAAGTGTCTTGGTAATCCGTCCAGCATTGTTTGCATAATCTTGCTAAATGAATGATAGACAAACAAACAAACAATCCGGACTAAAACATCATTGGTACTCTTTGGTTATAGGCTAAAGTTTCAACCTGATGATGATGGAGGACAATTCATGAAAAAAAAGTATTTTGAATAACATCTATAATAAACTAAACTGTTGTTGAGCAATGTCATGTAAAAGCTCATGGTTGCTAGATGAATTGTTAAGTGATCAAAGTCTGCATGATTCATACCTGAGAGCACCACAAGCATTTGTCTGAATGTCATGATGATCCATGTGATAATCACTCAGATATTTCAGTCTGGGCTGAAGTGGACATTAAAACTTTCTATTTCTGCTTCATCATGTGTCTGAACTTTGAAACACACACATCACTTGCTGTGGGTAAAGTTCACCTCCGTAAATACATTCTGTAACTATACAGTTTACATCTCTTTAGATTCGTACACAGTCACTGACAATATCCAAGTGTGTCATCAATCTACTTTTAACAAGGTAACATGACCATGTCTTTATAATGCGTCAAGCTCTGACTCTCACACATAATCAAGCTGCTGCTCGTTATGCTTCGCTCAACATGCGGATGCTGTTACTAGCTTACTCAGGTTATTTCTACTCTGTGCATTGTGCATTTTGTGTATCTCATTTCTAAGGGATGCGTCTGTCCTGTCCTTGGCGCTTTGCACTCACAGCTGAATCCCATGCAGCCGGCCAATGGGCTGCAAGTGCAAAGCTTAATACCGGTTTATAAGTGTTTATGGAATGGCTTTATATCTTTTGTCGCAAGAGTCTCTGAGGGAAGAAAAGTTATTTGTTTGAGTTGGGTATTGACCCTAAAAAATTATACACACATCCATATGCCACTGTGACGTCCTTGCTATTACTTTCCACCTCATTAAAACATCAAACTACAGCCTGTTTTAGTCCTGTCTCTTCCAAATCCCTTCAGTAAGGGGAAAGAATGTCTTACTTTTTAATGCACACAGCACATCATTTGCTTTTTATGAGATTGCTCACTTCATTAAAAATTTGTGAGACTGGGCTGAAATTGGGCATTAACCCATAATTCACTGCTTTGCCTACACTAATTTTATTGTACAGTACATGATCTTAACTTGCTTGCTCAAGATAATCAATGTGACAGGAACAGGCCTGAGCTGAAAAGCTTCTAAAATGTGAAAATGGAGATAGAAACTGAGTTCAGAGTGTGTTTCAGGGATGAACCTGAGAGGACATATCTGTTCCTTACATATATTAGGTGCTACACTCTCAAAGGGATTTCCACAGGAATCTATAAATGCATACACTCAGCCTCTCAGCTAAATGTTTCTCCTTCAAACAACCTACAACCAGAGAATCAATACAAATGTGAGGAGTGATTTTCAATGCGCAGAGCATGCTCTGCAAAGAGGAAAGGGTTAGGGGAGGGCAGGATAGTATTTCCAGTGAGACCGAGGTCAAATCTTTACTCACGTCTTTCAGACAGCCCCTGAAGTTGTTGCTGACTGGGGAGCCCGGCAGGTCAGCTGTGTTTAGGCTGCCCCCTATGTAGAAGAGATCATCGGAGCCCAGCATGGTGTAGTCCTCCTGGGTGTAGCCCGTGGTGGTGAGAATGCCGTCCACCAAGATCGTCACCTAGAGGATCCATGTGGGGAGTGTGAGGAAGACAAATAACAAGACATGAAGAGACCTGAAGTCAAACAGAAATAACTGGCCTCATTATTTCATGCTTTAGTTCAATAATCTCTGCAGATCCCTTTTTCTGATATATTAGCAGGGTTGCAGTGGAGTCAGTATATCATGAATATTACTTCAAATGGCCCAAAAGCAATATGAATGCTACAGTTCTCAATTTATTTAAGATTAGAGATATGAAAATGGCAATCTACATGACTTTTATTTGCAGCAACAAAAGACGATTATTGTTGCATGAGTCTCATTAGTACACAGAAACAAAGGAAATGAAGACATTAGCACACAGAGACAATGGGAATGAACAGGGCTACATAGGTAAAAAATGATATGCCTGTTGCCATGACAATGAGCCTACAGTTATCGTGTATTTCTGCACAAACATAACAGCTCCCACTTTGGGATAATGACTGAAAAGTGATGATTATTTGTGTGTAGGGGGAAAAATATTCAGCATAATCTACTGTAAAATTCTTTTTGTAAATTGGGCTGCCTGTGATGAATTGTATTTTAGGTCAAAAACGAGAACTGACAGCTCCAACAAGATGCAGGGACATGCCTGTTCAAAGATTCAGTTAATTGGTCTCAAGCCATTCACAATCATTTTTAAAAAGGCAGGGCGTGAGTGGGGAGATGTCATTAATAAAATTCAAAGTTAAAATCAGGGCAGTATCAAAGACAACTGAATATCAGAGAGCAATTTATATGTAAGGTGGGGGACCTGTTCCTTTTGTTATCGGGTAAAACAGCGGTTGCACCTTCACCACACATTATTTAGTGTTGACCTGTTTTAATGTAGATGTATGCATGTATATTTTTTAATTTAGATTTAGGGTTCTTCATTTTATAATGTTATCAAAAATGAGAATTTTAACCCATTGCAGTATAACATGTTATTATTAATACTACGAATAAGAATAAGGGCAAGTCTGTAAAATGGGTTTCAAGAAGTGAATTAAAAAGAAGTCACTGACTCAGCGAGCCTTATCTCCTCAGGCAGGTCCTTCCAAAGCTGAGGGGCCCTGATGGCAAAAGCATAGTCACCTTTAGCACTAAGCTCCACTTTAGTACGACCAGCAGGGCCAGAGGATCTAAGGCTGTGAGCCAAGGCAAGCTTTAATGGTGATCAGTAAAATCTTAAAATCAATCCGAACAGAGAGCCAGTGGAGCGAAGCCAGGTTTGTGGTGATGTAATGTCAAATAATAAAACCAGTAACGGAACAATATTATATGATATATGTAAATATTATGGGACAATAGTCTTTACAGATAACAATGGAATGGTTTCCATTAAGAGAGAAAGTTGAATACAACAACGTGAGCTACATTTCTGCAACTACTACACCACGTCTGGATCCAACAGTGCTCGAGGTCGGAGTAGTAAAGAGCTGTGGCCTCATTCAGAAGAGACTGATCTTTATTACCCAGTCTGCTCTCAGTAAGCACACGATCAAGAGATGTCAATGTTAAAAGCCTGTCTTTAAATATATCTGGAGAAAAGCTTAACTTCCCCCCGACATTTTATATTCAGGTTCCATGAGGTCCTGCCCGACCCTATGTTCTGGTACTGGCAGATATTGATTTCTTTCTATTTCATGATGAGCACATGTGTACATGTAGATCAGACAATGGCACGGCTCGAATGAGAGTTGATGATACTGCACATCAGGAAACTGGTCTCGTCTTTAAACTGGTTGATGCTGTTTTCTCTTTCCCTCTGCAGTGTCTACAAAAGCATGGCCACTGTCTTACAGTGGGAACACTGAATCCTGGAGTCATAGATAGTTCATTTGAAAATTAGCAGTGAAGGATGGATGCATTAAAAGGTAATTATTTAATTAAGGAGGAGCATCATTAATTAGAAGTACACGTTAATAATATCTAGACTCCACTAGTGGCTGTACTTCTCATCGCAATTCTCCAGGATATCTACAAAGCAAGTGTCATACAGAGCTGATGAAAGGGAAACATAACCTGTTTTCAGACATCATCCGGTAAATGTCCGTACAATTGGTTTAGACGTTTTCTGGACTTTGCCTTTCACATATGAAGATTGCAGCAAGAGATATGAGACAGATGCGTTCACAACAACAGGAAATGTCATGGCAGGACATGACGTATCCTGATACAGAAAAAATCTTTATGTTTAAAGTACATCACTAGCATCGGTTCTTATCACCAAAAGCTCTCGAATCTTTTGTCTTTCCAAGTTGACATCTCTGTCTGCGTCATTTACGTGTTTGACACCTTTTTGTCATCCTGATAAAGGCAGGAAAAGATCCGGAAAATATCCGGAGAAAATTAATCAGACATTTGCCTTCTCAAATGCAGTCCCTCCGGGTAATGTCAGGAAAATGTCCAGACTGCATGTCTGAAAGCAATACACTGATATGTAAGTGGAGTCAATAGTTACACTGAGACAAGAGCAATGTAATTAAAGGGAACAAAAGATATAGTGTGTGTATGTTAGCAGATTTTGTGTAGCCTACAGTACATTCCTGTAAATATATGCATGCATCATTAATAAAGGTCAGAAAAGGAGAGAGAAAAAGCACCAATCAGTTTGACCATGAGAGCAAAAGAAAAGATGGATGGAAGGCGAGATGGAAATAGGAGGAATTCTAGCTTGAAAAGCTCCACCGGATCTAATAAAATGTTTCCACCAGCACTCTCTTGAGAGTTACAGTTCCTCCTATCTATGTGTCAGGGACGTAACTTATCTGAGGGGAAAGCAATTTACACAGGGATCAAATGCATGGCTGAAAGCATTTTAAGGGTTAAGCTTTGGATTTCCGCTCCTCTGGAAGCCCGGGTGAGGAAATAGATGTGGAGGAAGATTCAAGTTTATATGCAGGTTAATGTGACAAGTTCAGTATATATCGGTGAGGATGATTAGAGAGTTAGACATGAAATGAGTCCTACTTTTGCAAAGAAATTAATCATTTAAATGCATCACACTTTGCTGAGGAAACATGTTGGGTTTGGCCGTGGGTTAGATACATTTATTAGAGTAAGTGACCAGAAGCAAATTTATTAAATACTCTCGAGGTGAGAGTTTTACATTACATCTTAGCTCAATGGAGTTCTGTTTGAACTGATGCCTTTTGTGTCCCTCAGCGTACTGCACACGCTTCCCAATATGTGCCAAGTGCATTGTCAGACTGAAACACAACAAGTTATTCTGAACAATGTGCTGACACACTGGGTTAATGCTTCAAAAATATTAATTAAGCACAGCTCAGGCATTTTAATACCGGTGTCATCAGGTCCATCTGATGAATATGTTAAACGTATACATTACAATATTATTAGCTGTGCTTGAAATATGTTGAGAACACTGCAACTTAAAGTGGCTGCACATTTTTCTGGAGCTGATGTTTGGGGCAAAACTGCTCCTTACTGGAGCGTAGCTGCTAACGAGCCAGATATCTCTTACTGGAAGTAGTGACCAGAACAGAGCTCAAAGACAATGAGTATTAATCAAGTGGCTATAAACACCAGTTTGCATCTAATTTCTAGATGTGTTTGCCAACAACTTTACCNATCAATTTTATCAGGTATACTTAGTGGACTGATATTTATAAGTTTGTACTTTTAAGCAGCTTGACTTGTGGGCTTTGATGTATGTGAGAGTGGTAAAGAGTAAAGTGGCCAAAAAATGTAATCGAGTTTGACACATTTAAAAACTGCAAAATTAGCATTCAGTTTCCATGAATGTTATTCTGATATTTCTCTCTTTTTTGGTCTCTACTAAAGGGAAAATGTCTTTAGGTCTCTTCACCAGGCAGTTGTTAATTTTGTGTGTACACAGTTTTTCCTGCTGTGCAGCTTGTGAAGCCTTTTTATCAAAACTCCTTTGCTGCTTGTCAGCCGTTCTTACTCGAAACATGACGGATGATATAAATTTGCAAGTTTAACACTCCGTAGACCTGTATTAATGGGTAATTGTCTGTAGGTTTTCACTGCAACTAAGTCATTAATTCAGTGTTAATATGAAAAAGCATTAATTAGTGGAGCTTTCAGGTATTGTAACAAGACTTCTTACTGTTAAATTACTGAACACTTCCAAAAGGGAACATCTAACGCAACAGACACATCCTGAGAATAAATTAGTTTGGAGTTCAGTGCTGTGCCCTGTCCAGTGGACAACTTTAATGAATATGAAACCTTATGGTCAAGTTGTACTTTGCTGGAGTACAGAAGTACAATGTCTGACACATGCAGTGGCTGTATTCAGTATATTCACTTTTTCCTTGCATGACCTACTCCTGCAGTGCTACATCACTGCCTACAGCCACACAAACTTGTTTTGGGCTTGTTGGTTAAGTTGAGTTTGTCAAAATCTGAAAATCTGTCGGACATAATATTGATCTGTAAAAATAGCAAATGAACAGGCTCCAGAGATTTCATCACGGATGAAGGATAAATAAAAATGATGGATACTGCTCTGAGTCGAGTCTTTCTTTCAATAAGTTAAATTGACCTTTAGAGCAATCTTTCGATGCAGAAAAAAGCAAGTTGCTGATTATAAAAGGACAGATTTCCAACAAAGCAATTTATTTCATGAGAAAGAGGGCAATGACCTAATGTGAGCTTCTAGTATCTATCAGAATGTGGAAAAATGTAAGAGTAGCAACTCAGCACAGCAGAAATATTAAACATTTGACAGAAACCAATACAGAATTTATTAGTACTTTATCACTGTTTGCATCACAATGGTATTACCGGGATCTGACCAAAATGTTCAAGATAATGCATATAAGACATATGATTTTTAAACCTTTTCTATCAGCTGCAGCCTTTATGACAGACTCAATAAAATCTGCAAAATATATCTCTGTCCAAAATCATGGAAGTCACATGTAATGGATATACATGGTATACACACCTGGCGGAGGTTGCGTGTCACTCGAACATCATGCCAGACGTTGTCATTAAACTTTCCACTGGCAGGTTCCACCAGGGCCTCAAAAGCACCGGAGCCGAGATTGATGACCAGCCACAGAGCTCCATTCCTCAGGGACAGGTTGACATAGTCAGCGGATTTCCCCGTGTGAAGCAGCAGGCCGTTCCTCTGGAGGGTGCGGAAGGACAACGTGATCTCATCCAAACTGCTCTGAATGGGTGTCTGGGACAGGTTGTAGCTGAAGAACTCATTGCCTTTAAACGTAGCCACTGACTCCTCCTGCCCTGTGAGGGGAGGAAAACCATCTTAGATAATTGATGCAGTCATCAGGCTGAAGTTAAACTTATCTTATCTATAGATCCATTACCAGAGCTGGGGCTTTAGTTAGGGAAACAAGGCTAAAGTGAGTTGATTAATATCAATTTGAATTTGAATAAACCATTGTAGAGCTGTTCTTATAAACACAACAAGATCACTTTATATTCTAATGGATGAATGTGCTATCAGTGGGAGGTCTGTGCATTTTTTGCATACTGAAGAATAAAACTGGTGATATTCTGTATAATATAAACAGCAACAACTGATCACAACAAATCTTTTCTGTGCAGCCAACACAAACTGTAGCTTAATCCTCTGTTCAAGAGACTGCCATAGAAACTGTGGTGAGTCACAGTGCTACACTGGGTGACATGTTACTTCATTACGATGAATGGACATTTCAATTTAGTTGATCCCACACACACTGTTCTAGTGCTGCAAATACTCATTAGTTTACCCAATGGCCCTAAACAAATGAACTGTTGAATCCTGTTCAAGTGTAGTTTGATAAAAACTACAATGTCCCGCCATTCAAAGAAATGACTTGGTCCATCTCATAACGCCAGCCTTATTGTTTTTTAGAGGGTGCCATCTTAAAAAAATATCAATACAAATGTGTCAGGCTTCATAAAACATCTAATTCACCCAAAAATTCAAATATAATTTACAGTGAGTGTGTTAATGTATGGTATAATTCTGACAGCTCATATATTTTCCTGAGATGAGTCCAAAAAATGTAGTTTCCAGGTTAAACCAGAAAGACGATTTCGGTTTTTGTTGGCTTCAGAGAAAAGTGGGTGGGTAGGTAGATTCATAGTAAGGTCGATAGGTAGGCAGGCAGCTAGTTAGGTAGTTAGGTAGGTAGGTAGGTAGATAGGTAAGTAGGTAGGTAAGTAGGTATGTAGGTACGTATGTATGTAGGTAGGTAGTTAGATATGTAGGAAGGGAGATATGTAGGGAGGTATGCAGACAGCTAGATAGGTTGGTAGGTAGTTAAGTAGGTATGTATATTTGTAGGTAGGTAGGAAGCTAGAAAGGTAGGTAGATATGTAGGTATGTAGATATGTAGGCAGGTGGGAAGGTAGGTATGTATGTATGTAGGTAGGAAGGTGGATAGGTGGATAGGTAGATAGAAAATTCATAGTTCACCATGGCCTTGCACACACATACAGTACTTTACAGCAGTACCTTACAGCATTAACACATTCTGACATTCACTCTTAGTATTCACAATATTGAAATCCACAGCAACAGTCACTATTCCATTGCGCCAACTTTTGGTATGTAAATCTTATTTTTACATTGAACCATAGAAATGATGTTGACTATTGCATAACATTTCTTTAAATCACGAGTGGGTTGTTTCAAGTCAGCATAGACCATTTCTCTCCATGTTTATATGATGCAGCAGCCAAGCCACTGAGCAAGCTGTTTCAAGCAAGAGGGATAAGCTGTCTCTTAAGCCTGTGTTTGTGTGTACAGTAAATTTCAGCTTCTGAACTCCAGGGCCAATTTAAGCCAGAAGGATCAGTGGTCCCATTAGTCTCTATTGTTTGAACTGTGTAGTTACTCAACTTTTGAGCACACAGCAGCTTGTTATGCTGTTGTTGTTAAGTTTAAATGTGAAGTTCCACATGTCACACTTAACCTTTTTGTGGAGGACACTGACGACAACAAACACTGATTGAGAAAAAGTGGTAATTGGACACTAGACAATTATTATTGAAATGTAAGTGCATCAAGATAATAACCCCAAAGGCACAGTTACCATTTAACTTAATATTCAAGAAAGGATATAAGAGACTATCCATATAACAAGAGCATTTAAACTATAACCCGTGTACATCCTGTCATTCACAGCTTTATATAAGTAAGATGCCACTAGCAGATGACCCTGAAGTATCCTTGAAGGTCCTCGAGGGATCTGTAGAAATGTGTGGGTGGCTATTAGATTGGTAGTAGGCCATATCTCTGCTTTCCTGCTTACCTTGCTGACTGTAGTCAGCCATTGTCTGCAGCAACAATATTTACCAGCTTCTAAGTGAGGCAATATTGGCTGTTTGCTCTCGGACCAGACACACTTTGGCACCAACTCCAAGGAAATGGCATTAGAGATACTGACTGGAGTCTGTGCACCAGCTGAGAGATGCTGCATGGAGCAGTTTTGCACTTTTTGCATGCTGCAGCAGACTATCAGCGGGTGGCAGAGCCATCAACCTTCTACCTTGGCTGCAGCTACACGATCATTGCACCGCACCATCTCTCCATGCAGATGGATGGCCATATGAACAGAAAGGGAAGACTCAGCAGAATATGATGGCAGCGCTAATAATCTCTACATGACTCTGCTGCTTCTCTTCACATTGTCTTCTCTCTGCATCACCCAACCTCTTATCTGCATCCTCTCTAAATTCAGGGTACAATGCTAGTGAGTCCTCAAGGGCCTGTTCACGGCCAATTCAATGAAGCACACAGCTACAAAATAAAGGTGGAGCTAAAGCATCCTGTGCGCCACTTTAGCATTGTACAAATTGTTCTTTGAGACAGTTAACAGCCGGTGTTGCCCCTATGCCCATGTACAAAATGTAGTGTCTGAATGTCAAGCCCAGAGCTATACATTAGCTGCTAGCTGTCACAGTATGAGGCACATCAAACACTGTAAAGAAAGTGTCCTGCCATAAGGCGAGAAGACATTATATGCAACCAATTCCTATTAGCCCACCTGTCCCTGCCTCTGTTACAGTTATACTATGCTGCAGTGGCCATACCACATAAAAAAGGCCAACATGTGGATTGCTCATTAATATTAAGTTTTACGGCTGATTAATTTCAAAGTGGTGCAAAAGCCCGGGGCACAGATGGCAGTTGTTGACTTTGTCCCCTGCTCAGGGGACGGGGAGTCAATTATCGGTTGGTTGCACCCAAACCTAAGTCAGGCAGTGCTGGCATGTGGAGTCGCGGGGCAGCAGTTTGCCCTTCTGATCTGGAGGCAGAGGTGTGAACGTGCAAACACTTTAGCTGCTCATAGGCACCAGTTTCTGAATAATCTCAACATGACAGCATATCTGTATGTCTCAGTATGCCCAAGCAAAGTGAGCAGCCACTCCTGGATTCACTGCAGTTTGCTAGAAGCTTTTAATTCATTGAGAAAGCATACAACCCCTTTTAGAGAGAGTTGAGTGGAAATTATTTGTGGCCAAATACACAAACCAAAACTAAACAAAATTCTTCACATTGAATACCCCCTCAGGCAAATGTTCATTATATGGGAGAATATAACTTTAATGAGTCATATGCAATCAAGTCACTAAAGTATTATGTAGAAAGTGAGTATTGCTTGGTGAGGTGTTTTTACAGTCAATTACTAACTTATAATTATTGATGCATGAAATGGAGCAATTACATCCAGACCTCATTTCACAACAAACCACATAGTGGTCGGCCTTTCATACACACTTGCTGTACATCTCACTAAATATTTTAGGCAATGGTAACATCAAGTACATTCAAGTGCATTGTTCTGTCAGTATACACATCATTTTAAGTATGAGCTTAACTCCAACATTATCTTTGGCCTTAGAAAGACTGATTACTTCTTCTGAGCAAACGGGTTTGTCCCAAAGCCAGTAAAGAACCAAGACTTTAATCTATAATTTCACAGTCAAGGACGCCTCAAGCTGCACCATTTATAGTCACAGCAAAACTGGCGTTATCAAACTGTTAAGTATTCGCTTACGCCTTTTCATACTGTAAATGACCTCAATATTAGTGTTAATCAGTCCTTCCCTGGAAAATGTACATGAGAACACCCAGGGTACTGCCATACTTTTTTCATCTTCGCATATTTGTGTTTCAAGGGAGTCGGAAAAACATTATTCAAAGATGATATCCAGAGCTGTTGTTATTTACAGCCACAAAGTAGCCTATATAATGATGTCTTATTAAAAACAAAAACAGAATCTGCTAATGAATGATTGTCCTTTCTGTGGACCTGTAAAAACAAGTCAGGCGCTGTAACGATAACCAAACAAATATGTGGAAACCTTTGTAAAATGTTTGTTTTGTCAAAATTCATCGCATGGAAATTCTCTTTTGAGATAACAGAGAAAAGGAACATTTCAGTTATTAGGAAAATGAGGACTTGAGCAGTGTATTATACTGTCAGTGGGTCATCAAAGCCACTCTCTATGTTTGGAGAAAAAAATGATTACCATGGATACAGGATGGAGACTTTTATCTCAATCTCAACATGTGGTAGAAAACCCAAAGCATAAGTACCTAATGTAGGTCAGAGCTACCGATATGATGCAGTAAGAGTGTTGACTTTCTCTTAAGGTCTTTTACCTACATTGCATTGAGTGTTTTTCTCTTCCAAGATTCTAAATTGAATTGCTTGATTATAATTCAGATATCATTCAACACTCCAGTTAGTCATCGCTTTTATTCCTTCCACCAGCAGTTTGACATCTCTTTTCTTGAATCTGTGATTATATGCAACCTTAATACATAAACACTAAGGCAATGTAACGATGATTTGAAGCAAATGCTATTTTCAACCCAATGATCAATGATTATACACAACCCAATGATCAAACATTTGAGACAACTGCACTATCTGGTATAACTGTGCACAACAGCCCCAAGAATGAACATAATACCCTGATGTGTTTTTCTTTATTCATCTGATTATTTTAATATAAAAAGTCAATATATTGTTTTTTGTGTGGACGTGTCTTTGCAGTTGAATCCCTTTATTCCTCATATTGACACCTGTTTACTTCCTCTGAAAACATCATGAAACCAAACCGAAGAGATGCTATGAGCGTAGATGAATTACCTTGGCGAAAAACTGTAGAGGTCAAAGGTGATGTTCCAGTAGCTCAGTCAGTGGTCAGGACAAGGATTTGACGGACAAAAATTGAGTGAGTAGTGAGCATAACATGACAGGAAGCAAAAAACGAATAGGCAAGTATATGAGAAAAGAGGAGAGGAAATATTAGTGCAGCACATTTAACTCAAATGATTTCAGGGGAAGGGGGAATGTTGTGATCAGGTGGCTGGGAAGGAAAAGCAAACCAATAGACCCCATACCTTGGCGATTTAACATCAGGTGCGCCAGACCTTGAGGGAAAGAACAGAAAAAAGGATACGAAAACAGGAAGTTCATAAAGAGGTTTGGGAGAACAAAAGCATTGTCACAATGTTGGACTGCAGTTTGTGACAGACATCCTGGGGTAGGTACGGATGTCAAAGTTCAAACTAAAATAGAAAGGGGAAATCAAACCAAAAACAGACAAACATCTCAAGGGAGGAGAGGGAAGGCAAGGAAAGAAAAAAACATCTTGATCGGTGCAACCCTTAAAGGTAGTTGCTCACACAGATGCTTTTTTCTAAATGGAACACATACTGTATGTTTACTTGATGCAGACAGCGTTTGAGATGTATCAAGGTATACATTAAAACCTGCTTTACACCTGATGTTTAAAAAAGTTGTAGTGACCTCTGATCTCTAATGGGGCTCCACAAGCTTCGCTCCCTCATCTCCACTTCTCCACACAATGAGCCTATTTAAGCTTCTAGACGCCAGCGTTTTATGAAAGGGCACAAGTGACACTGTTCTTTATCCACCAACTCTTTAGCTACTTACTATCTCACCGCTGATTTACCATCTAAAAGGGCTCGATAGATTTTGTGAGAGGAACACAACGAGTGTGGTCCTGTCACAGAAAGACATAACGAACGTCATGCAACAGATCAGCCAGCAATGACCTGCCACACCTGACATTTTGGAGAAGACAGCAGAAGAAAGCTGAGACAAAAAGCTGCACTAACAATAAAACATCACAAAAACATTCAGCCAAGAACAAAATACCACATCCCACCTCCATATTGTGTCACACCGCAGGGTTTAGCTCAATACAAGGGTCTGACTGCAGTGGCCGACACTTACAGGACTTAATTGTATAACCTTTTAAAACACTAGGCCAGTAAATCCAAAATAGATGTAACATGACATTTATACAGTTGGAGTACAATTACCACCAATCTAAGGAAGTAAACTATGCGCTGAAACCCATTACTCTCAGACATGAACTCCAAAAAATGTCAGGACAATGGGGTTTGGACTTTCTCTGGACTTTGCCAGAGGCCTAGGAGATTGTCCGGGTCAGATGTTTTCATAGCAGGAAAAGTCCAGAACATTCAGGTGATGTGGGGCGTCTTCTCAGATAGAGATATTTGTATTCTTTTTTTTTCAGTTCTACATCTGTTGCATGTTAGAAATCTGATCAACGTGCCCACTCACTCTGGTGACCTATCTGGACAAGTTCCTGCTGTATTCTCACATCTCTCTCAGAGATTCTCTTGAGTTTTTACGAGGGGGCTAGAAGGAAATACTCCAGGGCCCTGGTGATTTGCTTGGTTAATTATAGCCCCTTCTGGATAATTTCAGGAGAATATCAAGAGTTCAGTGGATGTCTGAAAGCAGTGAGAGAAACAGACAAATATCTCAATAGGCACATCTCACCTGCTCCTGTTGCCAAAAGGGAGATGGAGATGGGGATGACACAATGCAGCGTCTCTGCTGAGCACATGAGCTTCACACAGCCAGCCAACACAAACACATCTCATCAGTGCATTAGCACTCAGAGATTCTCATACCGCAGGTCCCAGTTCAGTCATTAGCTAAAACTTTATGGAGGGGCAAGTCGCTGCTGCACAAATCTCCTTCACACTTCTGAACAGGCTGCAACTCTTGATGTGGAATGGACATGATTACCCCTGGGAAGGTCTTTTGTCTGCCAACACGTAGGCTTTTGTTATAGTGTCCCATTGCAAAGTCAGTGACTGAGCCTCTACTTAGACAAGATTCGCCCACAATCCTGTCTTCATACCAAAGAGCCGCAGTGTGCACCCCCACTGTGGTTGTGTCTTCCACATGACAAGCCAACTTCATGTAAATTATGCAAGCTCTTCTTCCCCTCACTAGCCCTCTGGTGATGTCATTCTCCCTAGATGTACTAAGATCAGACTGGAAATGAGCTTGTGCACCATCTTCTTCAAGTGTCTGTTACCTCATTCTAAAGCTTTAAAAGGTACATGCTAAAAAAAATGCTAGAAAGACAACACAAGATTGTGAGCCTTCTCTGACCAATAGAGCAGGAGCGATGTCAGGTAAGAGCTCTATCCATCTGTCTTTTCTACAAAAGGGTAGGTGGGTAGGCTGCCCATTGTCCAATTAATGACCAGAACCAATCACAAAGCCAGAAGCCATTGCTTTGTCAAGTGGAGAATGCCCCAGTCGAATCCTTCACTTCAGTGATTTCTGTGTAGCTGGAAAAAGGAGCTTTGACCTGGAGAATTTTTAGCTAAAATGACTGCAAACATTTTTGATTTTCGTCAAACACTGGGGTGAGGAGAACTGACCTGCATCCCTGACTAAAGCGCCTCTGACTAATGGGCACTGATGCTGGTGATCAAAACGGGTCAGGGTGGGAAACACTTGAAAAGAGCCTCAGCCAACAACGCAATCTTTGACTTTGGCTTCAGTTAGATAGAAACGTGGATGAGGAGCTGTGCCATTGCCACCTTTGTAATCGAGCAGCCACCAATTGAATATGCTCATCCGGTTGAGCCTTACATCCAAAGCCCACTGTGTGGAAATGCAGAGATGCCTGTAGAATCCCATTAGAGAGGAAAGCCTGCTTGAAAATAAACTACCTCTGCTACCAGTAATCTTCTGGTTGTCTATTTTTAAATAAGAGGCACCTATAGCGGCACAAGAATTCCAGGGCAAACAATAATTTATAATGATGTGATGGACAATTATATTTATTAAAATGTATACATGTTGCTTTTAGGATCCTTCTGACTTGGTCTTCATAAAAATATTTTGTACTTTTGTCAAAAGACCACTGCTGTCGTCTGTTTCAATCTGTAAATTATCTGATTTAGTTTGTGGATCTGATGTCACACATTGAAACAATGTGAACAGCAACCATTAGTAACGTGTGAATACACGTTTCTTTACTCGTCTGCATATGCTGACCTTGAGTAAATCCATATTAAATCATAAACTGAATGATGCTTTGTGTATTCAAACATCTGCCGACAACCCAGCTGATTATGTTAGAGCTGGTTTGAACACTGACTGATGGAGGTTTGAACCCACAAAGCATTTTCTGACCGGTGTGATTCAGTGTTGGTTTAACTGGAAAAAAAGTTAGCTGGGGAAAGGATGACACAATGAGCGATGATAGTATTCTAAAGAGGGCTGCCATGTTGGCTAAGATTTGCTGTAGCTTAAAAATATTGACGTTAATAAATACTACTTTAGAAAAGAAAAAACTTTACTTATTAGGGTGCGCAACATAACTTGAAAAGCCATATATTGACAGGCATGTATTTATTTCCTTGTGGTATTTTATTGGCCTCCTAAACCTCTTTTGATTTAACCTTTTAACTATCAACAATTCCCAGAAAGTGCAATTTTTATTAACAAAGGGTTTGAAATTTTTAATTACAGAAATGAGGTAGAGAATCAATGCCAGAGTGGTTGTTAAGAAGCTAAATTAATCTTGATGTTTTTTTTCCTTACTGCTTATTACACCATGAACTATTACTTCTAACAAGAAAAGCTCTGCTATTTTAAATGCTTTAATGAATAAATATAGTGAAATATCTGAAAAGCAGATGTTGAAGGACCTCTCAGTCATTATTGGGACATTAATTAGCAGACATCTAAGAAGAAAGAAACACTGCACGAGGATTAAGATTTGCCATATTTGTTTTCCTAGAAAAGTACAGTATTATGGAGCGTGCTGTAATGAGGGATTAGATCAAGGTCACTGCTGCTGAAAGACGGGAGCCCACCAGGACCTAGCCTCCCTTCACTCAAAGATTTCTGTGCTTTATTAGTCATCCCTGTATTCCTAGTGTGCTACTGCTCTTACACATTAAACAATGAACATGTGTGTGCACTTGGCATGTGTGTGTGGTGTGAGGTTGTCTTGTACGTTTGAGAGATTTCTCTGTATTGTATCTGCCATGTGAGGTGGCTTCCCTTATCTCTTCTTTACAGACCTGTTTTTTCCTCATTTTTTTTTTCAAAGGGTGCTGCACTCTTGCGGCACTAGACTGTGCCCCACTGTGGTCTTTGTCCACTCGGATCGACGCCAACCCACGTGCTGAGTACTGTAGAGGAACAACTCCGGAGACTCACCTGCTGCGGCCCAGGGTTTCACTGCCTTAGAGCAGTTCCTCAGACAAATACAGATAATTCCTGCACCACTTAAAACCCACAGCCAAGACCAAATATAGCATATGGGTTACCATCGTAGCCATCGTAGTCTGAAGGGAGTAGGCGATTTTGCTAATGCACACATTTGTCTATTTCTGTCAATGCAAGGACAACAAAGACTTGCAGCTGAATAGCACGTGGAGTGGTTTGAAGGACAGAAATATTGTTGTTCTGCACTGGGAATTGTCTCCATGTCAAGCGTTAATCCAATAAACATTCTGATGTGCTCTCTTTGCAGCATGTCATTTAATAATGCGTGCCTTTTTGCTGTGAGCAGATCTATACCATCTCTGCTCATATTTAAGAATGATGATCACTTGTTGTGAAAGAGTGCAAAAATGAGACCTATTAACTGATACAAACAACTGCAAATCAAAGTCACTAAGTCTTAGAACATATATGTTTGTGCTGTCATTAAATCCACTGTATTTACATGAAGACAGTAACATTTTGCGATAGTTTAGTCTATTTGAAACTGTCAGAGGCAGGATTTTGGAGAGCAGGTGTGCACAGGTCTATGCATTTGGAGCTGGTAACAGTGATTTATAATGTGAAGTGGTTCAGTGCACCTTGTGCTCGTCTCCGGAGCCTGTTGGCTGCCCTTTCACAGGAACCAGCAGTCCTTACCGGGGAGATGGATGTCTCACCCTGATGCCAACTAAACAAATCTCCCTCCTCGCTTTCAATCTTCATCTCACATCCCATGTGTGCACCTCATTAGAAAACAATCCTGTGTAAGTATGGTCAGTTAAAATGTTGACAATTATGTCTCTTTTCCTGCCAGAGGAGATTTGTGCCTCTTAGGAAGATAATTTTATAAGCACCTATGAAGAATCTGTTATTATTACAAATATAAATATAATGCAAATATCATTATTATTTGATGACTGTCAAGGCCTCAGTACTCAGTTGTTACCAGAGGATTAATGTCATCATGTCCACATACTGATTTTAGAGAATATAAGACTTAATCTTTAAACCAAACAGTAGTTTACATGAAAAAATAGGCACTGTAGCGAGAGAGGAAATATACAGAAGTTATAAATAATTGAACAAAATATTTATGTACAGTCAGTTTCTCTGTATATGAAAGCTCCCCGTATTCTGAGACACGCTGCACTGCAGACCTCTCCAGTCACCTTGAGCCCACTGATTATACATACAATCAGCATTCGGCACATTAAGCACTTCCTTAGTGACCTTGTGACCAATGATAGAAAGTCTCCCTTTAGCTTAATTTGTTGGATGTCAGAACTGCAGTCCAAACTGACAATAACAACCTGATAATAACCAAGCACTCTCTCTCTCTCTCTCTCTCTCTCTCACACACACACACGGAGGCTGTGGTAATAGCCTCTGCAAATAAGAGCATCACAGCACACAAATTATACTCATCATTATCCTCCTTATATAACACACTGTCTTACCTTCCACTTCTTTCTGGACAGCTGCTGGAGAATCAAGAAAAAACAGACGTGTTTAATGTTCACAGAAAGACATCCGCAGTCCATTAAAACTGAATTAAACAATGGATATTTCATGTTTTCTTCCATGTCACATGCGTGTGGACTGACATGTTATACCAGAGGCTGTGAGTCCAGTCATTTATTCTATTGGTATATGTCGGTTAAAATAACTGACAGAAATACTGGCATTAAAACCCATAGTCTTTCTCTGACTTACAATTACAGGTAGAAAGGTGGTAGTTAAGGAATAATTGACAGACATCTTGCAAAATAATTTCAGTTATTGTAATGTGTTAAATGTATATTCATTATTCACTCCAGTATTATTAGATCACTTAAATAAGGTATGCATATAAAAATGCAGGTTGTGATTTAAGACTGTATTATTAGCTAATATAGTGATGTAGCGATCAGCAGAAAGTGCTTATAATGAATGCAATAAAAAAAGAACATATGGCTTCCAGGTTGTGAGTGCAGTGTTTAAATGCGGGAACCTCTGGCTTTATAACCAGTAGGGTCTCCACCCATGACCCCTGACCTTGAGGACGATGGCTGCAGAGCTTCAAAGTCAAATGTGTATTAATGACTAAAATTTACTGAGAGGGAATAATAAGTAGACACAGCCTTCGTAGGTGATGACGACAGGATGTGCGTATGTCTTATAAAAGTCTTTAGTCTGCACCCGACATTGTAATGTGAGACCAACAGCCTTTCTGTTTTGTCGACAAAACATACAAATAGATGTCACATTATGAAGATGTTATCCTCTGTGACATTTGGGGGTAATTAGAGAGCTGGACTCACACACTGAAGCAACTCACTGACTCCATAACTCTTTCCTTCGTGTGGTGTATAATTTAATATTCTATGTAGAGTTAATCAGGGCTGTAGTGGTAAAGAAAAAGGTGGGTAAACTATAATTTTCTTGTTGCCCTTGGTTACAGTGTCTCACATCAGAAGGACAGCTGATCTGTTTATGGCTGTTAAAAGGGAAAAGTCCACTGTATGTCTGTGTCCTGTTTTGATGAGTTGCTGCATCACATGGAACATTTATACTGACTGGAGGGACCAACAGAAACCTGGTCAGTTTGCAACAGTGACAAGACTTTGAGAGTGTGCAAGTAGCGAGTGCTGTACGCTAAGGAGACGTGAAAGCGGGGTTTGGGTGCCAGGCAACAGTGAGAAGGACTGGGGGCAAGGTGAGGTTGTGCTCTGAACTGTCATATAATTCTTAGTAAGCAATGATATTCAATTTGAATCAAACTTTGAAAAATTGGACAATAATAAGTGAATAAACCACCATAGAAACGTGTTTTTGTATTTAAAAAGGGACGTAAACAGCAGTAATGGTAGTTTACTACAGCCACTGGTGTTAACTATAATATCTTAGCTGTAGCACAAAGCCACAGATCAGCAAAACAATATTTCATAGGTCTGTCCCCAACTCACACAAAAACAACCACAACAAACACACAAAACAGAATTTTGTCACATTTTGTGTGAAAAAGAAGGATGGTATTGTTCTCACCTTCATGGCAGTACCTTCCCCTGCTGCTGGTATTGATGCAGTCACATAGGACCTCTCCTTGGCTGACGGAGCACAGGCCGTTGCTGCAGGGAGAGTGTGCTGCGCATATGTACTCCAAATCACTATGAACAGCTTGACCGTCCAGCAGCAGTGGAAGCGCCTCTCCCAGTTTCAAATTGGCTATAAGGCCCTGGAACGGCGGCTCATATTTAACTGTGCTTGACGTCAGTGCAGAGAGACGCACGTCAGGCGGGATCCCGCCCACGTAGAGGTCGCTGGCCACAACCATCTCTTTCCTCTTGGACTTCACCTCTGCCACTTTCTCCTCGTTGTCCACCACCAGCCTGGTCTCTCTGAAATTGCGAGAGAGGAGGACTCTGTGCCACCGCTGGTCGTTGATGCGTGTCTCTGTGTGCAGGGAGGCTGGTTCAGCACAGTGGATGGTGAAGCGCACCTGGAGCCTCCCGTCTGCAATAAGGAGCTCCAGGAAGTCGCAGTTCCCTCCGTCATCCAGATAGAGCACCAGGGCTTTACTGGCGTTGCTTTTCAGAATAAAGCTGAGCTCACCTGTTGTCTTGGCATCCCACTGGCCGTAGCGTGTCCACTGACCAGGAACCCCTTCATACTCCAAAGCTATTCCACTAAGCACCAACCCAGCTAACAAGAGTAACCAGGAAGCCTTGCCTTGACCCCAGCCCATGATGAATACTATCTATAACTTCTGGCTTCCTTATTGTCTCTGATCCAACACAGCTGAGGATAAAACTGCTATCTAGAGTCTATACTTCTTTTGTTATCACCTTCAATTTTTCAGAAATACAAGTGCAAATCCCACATGTTTCTTTAGCCTCGAATGACTATCCTGATTCTTTTTACCATCTCTCCGTACGTGACAGAGTGAACAAAGGAGGCACATCGCAGAACACTTTGCATCTACTTTGGATCAGCTAAGAAAGAGAACAAATAACACAAGTGAGCCACAGTACTGTGTGTTTCCTCGTCTTCGCCATCCAATGTCTTGGCCTCCATCCAGTACTGTTCCTGTCAGTTCTCCATGGGCTAGCTAGGCATGCAGCCTAGATGCAGCCGCCAATACTCCTCAGCCTCTCAACATCCTACGACACAAAAGAAGAACATGTAATGAATAGCTGGAAAGATTATTAACTTTTTAATGTACAAATACATGGAAATGATCAACAGTCATTTTGAAAAACAAATCAAACACCAACTCTAACACATCATGAAATGGCAGAGAGGTAAACAATTCATTTGGATATTTGTGTTTTCACATATAGACCCGTGGAAAATTTCAGGAACATGTCCAGACTTTAGTGAATGTCTGAAAGCAGCTTCGGAGATGAGAGTAAAACAATTGCTATTATTCTAACATCAGTGGAATCACAGTTTTGAAGGTAATTTCAAACAGCATGGTGTTGACGGTTGGATATCATTAAGCAACAGCCTAGACACTCAGATATCAGGCCATCACATTGATGCTTTGTCCAAGTTGTACCTCAATCCTGGCATCTCAATTTGTGTCTTAACATTTGGGCAGAGAGGCAAAACCCATTCGCACTGATCTTACTGAGACCTGCGCTGATTTCCAAGAAGCTGGTGGGAAAAGTCTGTTTCATAAGCACCCCCACAGATGTTTTGCTGCAATGCATGGCCTCACTAACTTCAGTGATGTTGAGCCCCTTAAGCCCTCTGCACTCCCCAGGCTCAAGCTAAGACGTTACAGCTAAACAGCACATGCAGGCCAGAGGCTGGGAGGGAGAGGAGAGGAAGAGGTCCATCTTAGAAACCAACAAACAAACAAACAAAATTCAATACTGCTTGATAACAAAGGAGTTTATGTGCCTCCCAGGCTTGAGCACACAAACCATGTTAACCAGTCTTTGGCTTAACTGGAGACGTTCTCGGGCTCATTTCTATCAGGCTGAAAGCAACAATGTGAGTCCAATCATCCTGTGGAATTATGTCTGGGGAATCTGCAAATATTCTAAGAGACAAAATTTGTATTTAAAGGATAAGACTGGAGTTTATTTATCTTTTCATTATTAGCAATCATTTCCCTACAGAGAACAAAGCCAATAATGAATCTATCCTACAGACAAGTATTGTGTGCATAGTCACAGCCTGATGTAGCTTATTGTGCTTCTGTGCCAAAGAACCCGTCTCCGTCCAAAACCCATTAAAACCACATAAAAGAGTAATACCGTTGTGTGATCCAATTAAGTGATCAAAACCAAAATCAGCAGCTACAATCTATTACATCCACTTTGCATAACTGAGTGGTACAATGCTGTAGATTTCAATGATGCCTACTGTACATGCTGCATACCAAACATCAGACATCTGACCCAACTCACAATGTGCTTGATGTGGAGAGGTTGTACAGTGAATGTTGAGCTTTCTTCTCTTAACATTCACGAAATGTACCAAAGTCACCCAGTCTCCTAAGAAAGAGAAAGAATACAGACGCTGTGGCAGTTAACATTCAGGGTGTTGATCCATTCAGTCAATCTGTCTGCGATAAATAGGGACAACTGTAAAGAATGTTAGGTTAAAGATCAAGGTTTTGACACGAACCACAGACAGCTAATTTGTCTGAAAGCGGGAAATAATCTTTATGTTATGTTAAACAGAGTAGTTCTTCCTCATTCACAGATGGTCCCCGGCCAGAAGCAAAGGCATTTCATGCAAGTGTAACCCAATTTCATCTCCGCCACAGAGAGAGAGATATAAAATGTGTTTTGAGTCTCTGGAGCCTCTATTGGTTCTCTTGCTGATGAGGGACTGCCACAGTCGGGTTTATTCGCCGAAGGTAGACATCGCAAGAAAGAGTGCATCACATCAAATTCACAGTTCTCATCACAGTTTCTCCCCAAAGTATCAAAAAGCTCCAGGCTGGGAGAAAACCCTTATAGCTGTATCCTGGAAGGTCATAAAATCTGACACCCTCCTCACAGGATGAATTGCAATTTGCCGGGGCCAGGCGCGGTGTGTGAAATGCTTCTTAGAGCCGGTTGGGGTTGTGCATATACTGTCAACTTCAGCTGCTTTTTCAACAGACAGAAAACCAACATGTTAGTATTTTTTGTATATAAATAAAATGATACATATAGCATAAGGTGCTTTAAGCTTTGGGATGTTGCCTGACTATTTTCCAAAAATCTTCCATTTACACTAAATGAATAACATTAAACGGCATCGAGACGTCACTGAACAACACATAAATGCACCATCATTAGTAGAAGTAACCCAATTCAAACTGCAAATTATTTTATACAAACACTAATTTTTAAATAACCTCACGCTTAATTTTGGTTAATTTGCTGCAACACAACAACAGCCATTTTAATATCCTGCTACCTGCAATAATCATATAGAGAAATGTGTTAAAATGCACATAAATAAGGTTTAATCGTAGTAAAAAACCTAACAATTGCATATGGCCATGGGCTATGCTGACAATAGCTCCAATGGAGATGTATTGCCTGTAAATCCGCCTGTAACTATGACATCGCTTATGTTTCTTACAGTGATTCCCAAACTCCCTTTGCTCACATTAGTTCCACAAACACTAAGAATGTCTCAGGGACTATTATTCAAACACACACAGGGCAGATGAAACATGCAAAGGTATATTTGTCAATGGGGCTTTGTGCTGCTAGTCTGGCAGTGCCATTTCCATTTTACCATTATTTATACCCTGTTATTACAATAGCAGCCAATGACGTGTATTCGTGGTAATCCACATTATATATGAAAACCATGATACATCATTTCTTTTCTAAAAATGATAAGGGCAATGGTGAATTATTCACATATGATCACAGGAATATTATATATATACTCTACAAACAATGCAGTGTAGAGGATAATAAAACATTTCCTGACAGTAAAGTCTGGGCAATGAGGCTTCTGAGGCACACAGTTAAAACAGGCTGAAGCTGATCAATATATGAATCTATAAATGATATTGACATAACACAAGACTTGTTTTTTTTACATGTACATGTACAATCACCTTTGTCGTCCCTTACTATAAATTATAGATCAGAGTGTCTCGTACATGAGTGCATGCACCCGGTTTAAGTAACTGCCCGTACGGGTAATGAGGGTGGGACAATTTTATCTGTCAACACTACACCTGGCATTCTCTTGATTTGACAATTTTGACCCAATTGTTGCACAAGCAAATCCTAGACCGGAGGAGAAATCCGAGAGCAGAACATTGACACCGGCGTCAACCCTCATCCCCAAAAGCTCTCAGATATCTTTGTCTTTCATAGTAGACATTTTCTTGTGTATGAAACTTCTTCTTCGTCCTAAGATATTTGTCTTCTTTTTTCAAATGTTTGCGTCTGTTGCGGGTTAGAAACTTGTGAAGCAACCAATTGCTTCAGGTGAAATCTTTGGATAACATCCAAGTGTATTCTCACATGGGCTCATTCTGACTTTTTTTTACTAGGGGCCTGCCAGAAAAAACTCCTGAGAAAGTCCAGAGCAACTGACTTGGACATTTGTGTTCTCACATACAGCCCCTGCAGATGATTTCAGGAGATTATATGGAGTTCAGTGCATGTCTGAGGGCAGCTTTATTAGCAATAAGCAAGGAATTACTGCTGCTAAAAGTCAAAAAACTACCCCAGAGAGGTAAAGCTGGTAGATGTACAAGAGGTTCAACAGTTAATGAGTGTGCATGAGCAGACACAAACAGACTCAATGATACAGGGAATCCATGAATCCACGTTTGACACAGAACAACAGGGATCGGATGATACTAATGTTTCGATGAACACTGTGCATTTCTCTGAATAATCAGTTAGTTAACAGGTGAAAGAGTACAACAGGAGGTGGGCTGTGAAAGAAACAGCAAACACTTAACTGCCCCAATTATGCAAATCCGACAATTGTATGCACTTTGCTATGCTTTGTGTGAGGCAATCACTTTTAGGCAGAATCAAGTTTTACACAAGCACAGCACTAATGTTTTCATATGCTACTGTAGCAGTTACTTTATTTATTTTTTGTTATCGATGTTTAATACACCTGGGTATGTTTGATTTAACAATATGTGAGGTCACAGATTTCTTGTTGAAAAGGAATGTTACGGCACATCAGGCATTTTAAGTCTACATCACCTTCGTGCACACATTAGTTTCTCTTTATTGCTTTAATGAACTGTTCCCATTCTCTTCTACTTAATACCTGAGCAGGTTCTGGGGGTTACAGTGCAGAAGAATGCAGCATTTGTCCCCCAATGTACGGCGCATTTATTGTTCCCCAGCTGTTAAGCTCTATTCTTTTCACTCATCAGTTTTCCAATTAGAGGGCCAGTGGAGGTTGAACGCCCTGTCATTCTCTAAATGGAGCCTGCACGGCTATGAAAGCAATTCCAATAGACCTATCGGAGCAAATTTGAGGAAAGCCACACTCAATATGCACAGCCAATCTACTAGAGGTATGGGTCTGTCATGGGTCTGTGCATTGAGGAAAAGTTGTGCTAGAAGTAACGACTTCTCACCACACCTCTGTAATCTTTTACCCCCTCCCCCTCAACCTTTGACTCTATAGTCTGAGTGATGCTCGAAGCAAAATAGGGCACGTTTAGGGAAATGACTTGCCAATGTAAAGTAGAAATATCTAACGACTTATCTGCAGCATTTTGGCAGAGCGTTTGTGTGCACATAAGATTCCCTTTGACTGTGCCGATGCGATTCTAGGAAAAGTAGAATGTGACAGAAATAACCTGTATTCTTTGATGGGGTGAGACTCAACTCTTGAGTTTAACTCCCAAGTTTATTCTAGCGCTCCGTCAGCTGTTAACTCAAGTCTGCAGAGATTTCATAATAAGCTTTTCTATTGAGGCAGAGCAGCTCGCTCTTTGCTGTGAGTGATCTAATCTTCCATCTATGGTTATATATTATCATCCTGACTCTGAGCTAAATTAGTTGACTTTTATCAGAACTAGTGAACCACAGAGAAACAGGAGTCAACAGCACGACTCAAAAAGAGAGAACAGGTTTCCAAATGCAAGGTTTTTAGCAGGGAGTTTGGAGAGCAAACATTATCCAAAGCAAGACGAGACAAAAAACAAGGTCGAAAT